CTCGGGGGGGAGGGGAGGGGAGGGGAGAAGCCCGAGGTCCCGGGGCGGGCGCGCTTTGGCGGCTCCTCGCCGCGGTATTGTGCAAGGAGCGCAGGGGCTCGGCGTGACGTCACTTCCGGCGGGCGGCGCTGGCGCGGAGAGCGGCGGAAGATCAGTACAATGCGGCGGCGGCGGCGCGCGGCCGGTGGGGGAGGGGAGCGGGGGAGGCGGCCCCTCCCCCGCGCGCGGGCCGGCGTGCACGTGGGCCGCGGCCGGCCGCGCTCTTTTTCTTGGGCTTTCTCGAACCATCCGCGGCCTGGCGGAGTGAGCGGCCTATCTTTAGACTGCGTCACTAGCTCCAGCACTCGTCTGCTCTGATTGTTCTTTGAAATCACGTATAGTTCGTCGATTGAAAAATCAGTACAGAAGCACTTGCAGGGTACACTTAGGTTTTTTTCCGTTTTGAGACAGAAAAGGTGCTCTTCGGGTTTCTTTTTTTTTTTTTTTTTTGTCCTCGCCGTCTTGACTTCTCGGATGTCTGCGCTAGATTCGCGGCTTGGCTTCTTAAAGGGCTATTGTGTGTTGTAGGAGATGGCAAAACAGAGCAGAAAGGCGGAGATAAAAAGAGAGGGGTTAAAAGACCTCGCGAAGATCATGGCCGAGGATACTTTGAGTACATCGAGGAAAACAAGTACAGCAGGTACAGGATGCCAGCCTAGTTGCGCCTGTCACCCACTCCTCGCGGGTCGGGGAAAGAGCTGGTGTCAGGAGACGTTTCTGTCTTTCAGAGCCAAATCTCCTCAGCCACCTGTTGAAGAAGAAGATGAGCACTTCGATGACACAGTGGTTTGTCTTGATACTTGTAAGTGAAGCCGATTCTCCCCTCCTTACAAACGCAGCGGTTTTTATGGTTCCACATTGTTAGAGAACAGTACATTCAACTAATGGGGAAAACGTAGGGTAGCCTTTAACGAGGCAGGAAAACGATGACTTACGTTCAGATTCCAGTAGTAGTTTAATATTTGGTATGGTTTCAGTTATGATGATAATCTCACAGGCTCTGGCAATTTGATATTTTTGTGACTTGAGAATTCTTATTGTTAGGGATGTAAACTTAATGCCTTTGTTTGACTGTAGCTAACGGAAACTTGTAAAACTACGTGTCTTGTCCTTATAATAAGGCTTCTGCAGTAGTCATTACATTTCTTGTGGAATTAAGTATTAAGTGAGCTGTTTGCGCTAAATATTTACCAATATTTTCTCCCATTAGCACACAAGTATATTCCCTATTCTGAAAGATTGTAATAATATTTTATCAATAACTGCTCTTCTGTTCTCAATTCCAGTTCAGTAGCTGCTGCTTTAACATAAGTTGATTTCTTCCAAAGACCTGGGGCAGCAGCAGTGGGCTATCACTGGGCCACTAGCTTTCTTCAGCAGCGAATGGTATCAATGGCAGCGCTGTAAATACTACTACTTTACCCAGTTGGGTTGCAATTATGAGGAAGTATTGCAAACCTCCTAATAGGCCTTGGCTGTCAGATTTGTGTTTTTTAAACATAAAAAGTTACATTGGTTTAGTATTTGAATGGAACGCAAAACTTTTCAGTGTAATGAGTAGAGCAGTGTAGAAAAAAGTGCTTGAAGATTAAGGTAAGGTGTCAACTTGTTCTGTTAGAAGGAGTTGAAGCTTAGAGCCTTACATTTCCTTGTGCAAAGTGCTTTCATTCACATCTATAAAACATGGAAAAGTAGTTCAAGAGTTTTAGGTTAAATTCAGTTGATTAAGTATGAAACTGCTAGGTATTGGCAGCATGATGAAGGAAGCAGTGACTCTCGAGGTTAATATTGCCACTGTTAAATCAGTTTTTAGTACAAATCTGCTAGGAATACCAATGTTAAGTGCAGTAGTGGGTTTAAAGAAATGGTTAAGTTGAAAATTCTGTCAGTGTTTGAGAACTTCAAGAGCAAAGCTTATTTGAGAATTCTAAGTTTATATTTGATTTTTCACTAATACAAAGTAAACCGCATTCTAACGATTTAGAATTTAGCTGTTTACTAAGTTAAGAACGCTTGAGAAGGTGTATGTTAATCAGCTAGTGACCTAAAGGTAGCTAAAAATGCTTTGGATTTGGATAATCCAGGAAGAAGTTAATCCTTAATTGATAAAACCGGCAAGCTTGTGGAAGGGGAACCTAAAGTGCCATAGTAGTAACAGTTCTGGACAGCTAGGTTTGTAGGTTGAGACTGCTGTATTCACAAGTTTTAGAAAAAAATTGAGGACCCAGAACTTTGGTATTAAGTTACAGAGTGCAGGATTAACAACAGCTCATGCTCCTATTTTAAAACGATTTGGTCATGGCCGCCTCCCTTCAGTCTTATTGTGGCACTGGTAAATTCTACCTGGTTCTGGCATGCTTCACTTTGATTTCCTGCTATCCTCTACTGCTTGCCTCTAAACCAAGGTAAAGAGCAGAGCAGGTATGTATTAATGTCCCATTGTCTTGATTATTTTACATGCTTAAGACACATGTATTTTGGTGTTTAATTTAATAGGCAGTTTTACTCTTCCTATGTAATTGAGCAAGAAGTGGCTTGGTGTGGGAGTGGGGATTAAAGGAAAAATTGGAAAAGCATGATCTTAACACTGTTCTATGCAGCATAAAAAATACATGTGAAAATTTAATAAGCAAGTTTTATCTACGTAGCATAATACGTTGGATGTCAAAAGAATAATATGGTATTTGATTACAGATAATTGTGATCTACATTTTAAAATATCAAGAGATCGCCTCAGTGCTTCTTCCCTTACTATGGAGAGCTTTGCTTTTCTTTGGGCTGGAGGAAGGGCCTCTTATGGTGTGTCAAAAGGCAAAGTCTGTTTTGAGATGAAGGTAAATGCAGTTTTGTGATTTTTTTTTTTTTTTTTTTTTTTTGAGACCCTTTTTCATTTGAAGTTTTAGAAAGGCTTAAAACATTTTTTAACAGTTAAGTTTGTAAAATCAGAACTTGCTGTACAGAGCCAGCCCATTTTGTATTTAGAGTACTCCTTTTTTATAGTAGTTGCTAAGAAAGGCCAAGGGTTTTTGGCTTTTTTTTTTTTTCCTCTTAAGAAAAGCTTGTAAGTTTGGTTTTGTCAGAAAAGAGCATGTAATGTATACTTTGAGTATAAGGTGCAAATTTAACTTGAATTTAAAGTGTTTAAGTCTTAAAGCTTCATGTTTGAGTTCTAAGTGCTTCCATTAGTCTGACAGTCTTGTAAATGATGGGGGTGGCACTTGGAAAGATTAGATGTAGACTTCTCCTGTATTAATAGCAAGGCAAGCATTAGGACAAGGCCCAGTAAGACAAGCCAGAGTTGAAGGGTTTACCTTCCTTGATTTACAATTTAATTGTTGAATGATTTGAATTTCAGGTTACAGAGAAGATCCCAGTAAGGCATTTATATACAAAAGATATTGATATACATGAAGTTCGGATTGGATGGTCACTAACCACAAGTGGAATGTTGCTTGGTAAAGTTTCCAGTTGATTCCTGTGGACTCAGAAATGTTACAGAGAGCATTTTAAGCCTTAACCAATTTCTAAGCTAGTTTTAGTGCTTTGCAGATGAGTAAAAGCTATGTAATAGGCACATGCTAAGTTTTAGTTTCTGTCCCACTGTGCTCTCTGAAGTTACAAAACAGTTGAAATCGTCTTCTAGCAACATGTAGTATGTTTGCTATAGCTTTGTATGTTTTATCCCGCACAGCTTTCACCAATTCTATGTCTGATAGGGGTAGTAAGTCAAAGATAATTACATTATACACACTGCTTCTCTTGTGCCCCATATTTGAAATAGTAACAGTCAAATAGGTGAGTCTTCTGAGTGTTTTAAGACATTGACTTCATAAAAGTTATTTTTTTAGGTGAAGAAGAATTTTCTTATGGATATTCTCTAAAAGGAATAAAAACATGCAACTGTGAGACAGAAGATTATGGAGAAAAGTTTGATGAAAATGATGTGATTACTTGTTTTGCTGTAAGTTACACCTGAGAATCTGTATAAATGACAAGTTATTAGCTACATTGAGGAATGTTTTTAAAGCACTATTAGTGTAGATAACAGGCCCTAGCTTTGGATTACAGACTATGTTAGGTGAACTGGGAACATCACAGATTGTTTTGAGGAAGAAATCACTAACGCATTTTGACTAAAAATTATTAAATGTAAAGTTGAAATACTCCCATTTTTTAGGGCAGTGTGCTGATTCTGGATACCTGTCTTTCGTTATTACCACCACCAGGTTTTTAGCATTTGACAAATACATACGCTGTAAGATAAGCTTACTTTTAATTTTTTTTTTCCTTACTTAACAGAACTTTGAAAGTGATGAAGTAGAACTTTCCTATGCTAAGAATGGACAAGATCTTGGTGTTGCCTTCAAAATTAGCAAGGAAGTTCTTGCTGGGCGACCACTCTTCCCACATGTTCTCTGCCACAACTGTGCAGTTGAATTTAATTTTGGTCAGAAGGAAAAGCCATATTTTCCAATACCTGAAGACTATACTTTTATTCAAAATGTCCCCTTAGAGGATCGAGTAAGAGGACCAAAGGGGCCTGAAGAGAAGAAAGATTGTGAAGTAAGTTACATTTTTTTTTTTTTCCTTGAAAAGTGTGAAGCATTTGAAGATGGCTTTTGGTAGAAATAACATTTAGAAATGCTAAGTGATTTTTTTTTTTTAATTATCTCTTCCCCTTGTGGTTGTGTGTAGCTTCCTACAAATTCCAGTCATGTGTGGTCTGCTAATTTGGATTTTTAAACTAGCTTCTCGTTAAGGTTAAAAATGTTCAAAGAATATTAGGTGGTCTCTAAATTGTGAAATATTTCCTACTGTAGGTTGTGATGATGATTGGCTTGCCAGGAGCTGGAAAAACTACTTGGGTTACTAAACATGCAGCTGAAAATCCTGGTAAATACAACATTCTTGGAACAAATACCATTATGGACAAAATGATGGTAAGTAAAATATGATTTGATGTAGACCAGAAGGGAAAGGAGGATGTAGCTCAGGGATAGGACTGGTTAGCATGTTTGAGACTTTGGGTTCAGGCTCCAGCCCTGCCAAAACAAAAGATGAGGAGGAAGTATTGTAGATAATATCTTTGCCTTGTTGTCTTTTCTGTTTTGATATCTGGCATTGGAATAAGAGCAAAACTACTGTACATTGGATAAAGTAAACTCTGTAGGCGAATAGTCTTCTGGATATAGTGAAGAACCATCCAGAAGTGAAAAATTAAATACTTTTTGAATAGCATATTGTTACATGGTAAAGAGATACTGGCTAACCTCAAATTCGGGATTCTCCAGCCCCAGTCTTGAATGCTGGGAATTACAGGTGTGTGCCAACACACCTGGCTAGAGTTATTTGGTAGCAGTACGGAAAAAGACATAAAATGTCACACCTTTTCTATGAAGATAGCAAGTATTAAATGTGTAATTTAAGTCTTCAAAAGTTTAAGAATTTAAACTTTTAAAAATAGGTGGCAGGTTTTAAGAAGCAAATGGCAGATACTGGAAAGCTGAACACACTGTTGCAGCGAGCTCCACAGTGTCTTGGAAAGTTCATTGAGATTGCTGCCCGCAAGAAGCGGAATTTCATTCTGGATCAGGTAAGCTCTTACCGTTTTGAAACTGAACAGTGTGAACTGATGTGGTATAGGAGAAATGTTTACAATTACAAACTTTTAATTTTTTTCCCAAGACAAATGTGTCTGCTGCTGCCCAGAGAAGAAAAATGTGCCTGTTTGCAGGCTTCCAGCGAAAAGCTGTTGTAGTTTGCCCAAAAGATGAAGACTATAAACAGAGAACACAGAAGAAAGCAGAAGTAGAGGGAAAAGACCTGCCAGAGCATGCAGTCCTCAAAATGAAAGGCATGAAATTTATTTTCATTACCTTTTAAGTCTTTTCCTGTGACCTTTTTTTTTTTTTTTTTTTGAGACAGGGTTTTACTCTGCTGTTCAGACTGGTCTTGAACTCACTTTGTCACCCAGGCTGGCCTTGAACACTCAGTGGTCCTTCTGCCTCAGCCTCCCAAGTGCTGGGATTACGGGTGCACGCCCAGCCTTCCTGTGATTTATATTCTAAAAACTAACAGTTTTACTAGTAAGACTGGACTATTTGAGGAGTTATATTAACTCTTGGTACATGTGAATGAATGTGTTTGGCTCATTCTGGTTTTTTTGTTTTTTTTAAGGAAAACGTCATTAAAAACCTTTAGGTATTACAGTAGTCTGTTTAAAGGAACTGGAGCCATTTTCAGGAATTAGGAGTTTTAAGATTGTAGATACTTTAGGAAGTGCCGAAGTTAAGTTTGACTTTATTCCCTGCAGGAAACTTTACCCTGCCAGAGGTGGCTGAATGCTTTGATGAAATAACCTATGTTGAACTTCAGAAAGAAGAAGCCCAGAAACTTCTGGAGCAATATAAGGAAGAAAGCAAAAAGGCACTTCCACCAGAAAAGAAACAGAACACTGGCTCAAAGAAGAGCAATAAAAATAAGAGTGGCAAAAACCAGTTTAACAGAGGTGGTGGCCATAGAGGACGTGGAGGATTCAATATGCGTGGTGGAAACTTCAGAGGGGGAGGCAAGTTTTAAGATCTTAAATTCTAAACATAACCTGGGTGTGTATGAATGGTTAAAATTAAACATTAATTTTGTTGTCATTTTGCAATTAAAAAGAAGATTGGGCATGGCCGTGGAAAGAACCCAATATTATGTAAGTAGGTACAATACAATTAAACTGAATATTCCTTGTTTTTCAGCTCCTGGGAACCGTGGTGGTTATAATAGAAGGGGCAATATGCCTCAGAGAGGTGGCGGCGGTGGTGGAAGTGGTGGAATTGGTTATCCATACCCTCGTGGCCCTGTTTTTCCTGGCCGAGGCGGCTATTCAAACAGAGGGAACTACAACAGAGGTGGAATGCCTAACAGAGGGAACTATAACCAGGTAATGAGGCAAGGTGTCTGGAAGGACTAATAATGACCCATGTAATTTAGTCTGGAAGGTGGTATGCTTATGTTGTAGAATCTCAGTGAACTAAAGAGTGTGTGCGTTGACAAACAAAAGTTAAACCTAGTAATAGCAAAATGAGTCCATTTGCTTTTCAGGTGTTCTAACTAGCAACCATTAAAGCTGGATTTGTAATGTAAAAAAATTGAAATAACTGAGAAACTACCAGAAAATGCCTAGGGTTTCTGCCCCACGCCCCCACCAAGTGTGGTATCTAATACCTGTTACCGCCTCTCTCCCATTGTATCTCTACAAGCATGATAAACTCGGGGGTTCAGAGTTCCTAAAAGACTTTTTTCCTTTTTCATAGAACTTCAGAGGACGAGGAAACAATCGTGGCTACAAAAATCAATCTCAGGGCTACAACCAGTGGCAGCAGGGTGTAAGTAATTTCTCATGTGATTATGTACATTAATTATAAAGTCTTGAAAAAGACCTTGTCCAGAGATTGAAGTGTATAAATGTTAAGAGAGCAAGGTGTGGATTGTGTTTTATCTGTAGCCATAAATAGGTTGGAGGTGTTCTAACTTAAGATTTTCATAATAAAGTAATGTGTAATACATCTTGTTCTTTTTACTGCTAGCTTTAATTGTGTAAACTAACCAAGTTGAATTTCCTTTTGTAATGTGTATTGATAAATATTGGGCTATTAAAATAATCTGGTTTGATAGAAATCAGAGGTATGACAAGTATAAATTTATTTGCAGCAGTTACTGTGAATTAGATTCATTGTCATTTCCTAAAAGCAGTTTGAGTGGCTTATTGATGTTTTTTTCTTTAAAAAAAAAATTTTCTCTTACAGCAATTCTGGGGTCAGAAGCCATGGAGTCAGCATTATCACCAAGGATATTATTGAATACCCAAATAAAACGAACTGATACATATTTCTCCAAAACCTTCACAAGAAGTCGACTGTTTTCTTTAGTAGGCTAACTTTTTAAACATTCCACAAGAGGAAGTGCCTGCGGGTTCCTTTTTTAGAAGCTTTGTGGGTTGATTTTTTTTTTTCTTTTCTTTTTTGTACATTTTTAATTGCAGTTTTAAAGTGAATCGTAAGAGAACCTCAGCATTGTGCACGATAAGAGAATGTGTCAGTATTTCAGGGTTCTACATTTTATCTGTAAAATGTGACTTTTTTTTTTATCACAACAAAAGTAAAATGTTGCTTTGTACCTGGTGTCTTTTATTAAGAATTTACTCCCCCCATTTCTCACAGAGAATAACAGTCGGGAGTCATTGTCACAATATAATAGAAATGTTAGCAACCAGATTCATGGAAGGACTAACTGGTCCTCATGAATTGCATAAGACTCTGTACTGCTCATATTACACTCCATCCTCTCTGTAGCTTTTTTGGGGTAGTAGTGGAGGGGGTAAGCTAAGTAGTAATCTCCGACAAAATCTGGGAAGGTTCCTTCTGTGTGAAAAACAATAGAATTGGCATAATTGGTAACGAAGATAAAACTTGGAACTGAAATGGAGAAGATGGAGTGTATGTAGAAGGGCTGTTAAAAATGTAAAACTTGGTTGCATTATTTGTGGAGGCTCATACTTGTGAAGGTTAAATACCATAATTTTTCCATTTGTTCTGCATTTTGATTCTGAAAAGAAAGCTGGCTTTGCCCATTTCTTATTAAAAAAACTTGTTGTAAATCCAGTTGTCTAATGGGATCTATATGAAGTTAGCTATGTCTGTATGCCCTTCTCCCACAAAATACTGTATAACTAGTGTGCTTGTAGTAGTTAACTCCACCATCTTTGTAAGCTAATGAAATTGTGAGTCACCCATTTATATCTTAATTTTTAATCATGTCAGTTCTTGAATGGGTATCTCCTTAGCCTGCTGATTTCCTTTTTCTTTCTAAAGAAAGTGGGTGGAGAAATTAATTTAGACGTTTGTTTGCAATAAAAAGAATTCATTTTACTCTTGTTTTGGGATTCTCGCCATCAAGGTTCAAAATCCCTTTATACAACTCCCAAGAGGAGAAATTTTAAGTGTGTGCTTTCTGGACAGCTTATTCTTTATTCTGTACTTAGAACATTTAGGTTTTAAAAACTTAAATGTGTATTGACAGTTGATTTTATACTTAAGTTGAATTCTTCCCTTCCCCTCCCCCCCAGACGGCTTTTAACATTTAATTGAGGGGAAAAGGTATACTGGCTGGGAGAAGTTAACACTCACTGTATTATCTTTACAAAATGCTGACAGCTGTCCTCAACTGATAATTTTATATACATATATATGATACATGAAACTCTGGGAACAGATGCTTTTAGAAGCCATCATTCAAGCCAGTCATTGATTTCACTACTACACAACACTGCTAACTTAACTGTAGCTATGTGATAACATTAGATCCCCTATTGTAATTATATTGGGTTTGCACAGAACACTTAATCTTCTCAAGGATCCTCACTGAAGTGAGGAATCAGGAGTCAAACTGTAGAACTAAAATTTGACTTCAGTCTAGTATTTTGTTTTCAGGTTGCTTCTGGTAAGTTCAGGTTTGCTGTGTGATTGTTCAGAATTTTGTCTTAGCCATTGAAAATCAGATACTTAACTTGAGTTCATACTCATAGGAATTTTCTTACAAGCTGAGTTGAGTTGTAGGTGATGGTGTAGGTAGGTGATGTAGGTCTAGTTGACATTGAAACAAAGGCTAATTACCCTGAAAATTAACCATACAAGGTAGCGTCCATAGGTTTTTGTCTTTAGCAGTTAACTTGGTAGCAACCACTGGCATGAATTACTTTTGAGTGTACATTAGGATTTTGTATACCTGCTCATCTTAATCAGCATGTAGGTGTTACACAGTTTCCATTTGTGCCTTATAAAAACCTTGGGTACACCTTCCAGCTCAGATTTGCTTAATAAATTCGTATCCACAATTGCAACAGAAAAATAATGGTCAAATACTACTAGTTAGGTCAACATTCCTAGATTACCCAAACATTTGTGGAGATGGGGTGATGATAGAATAGATAAAAGCTCCCTGGACATTTTACAATTAAAAGCAGTCTCATGATGAGTGCTGTCTGCGCTTGTGAAAGAAATAACCTTAGGAAGTTCTTAAATTCAGAAAAGTGGCTGGACATGGTAGCATATGCCTGTAATCCCAGTACTTGGGAAGCAGAGGCAGAAAGCTCCCCACGAGTTGGAGGCCAACCTAGGCTACATAGTGAGTTCAAGGCTAACCTGAACTACCATAGTAAGAACCTGTTTTACCCCACAAAACAGAACTAAACAAGCTAAATAGCAAGCAAAGATAAATTCTAGAAAAGCTAAGTTTTGGCAGAATGTTTACGGAGAGTTGGTTTCTTTGTGCCTGTCACCCCTCACCCCTGTGGAAAACATTCAGAAGCACATTTAGTTCGAACTGATCGTAGAGAAAAAAACTGCTTTGAGTTCAAAGTGGGTTCATGCTAAACCCTTAAATGGGGTAGGAGACTGGGGGTATGGCTCAGTGATAACAGCACTTGACTAGCATGTTCAACTCGGGAATACAAATAGCTGAATAGGGAAGAAGACACTACTAAAAGATAGGATAACTACAAATACTGTAAAATTTATTGCTGGCCTTCGGCTCTGAATTGTAAGAACAGAAGTCATCAGCTTATGGTCATTCATAATACACAGCAGAATGAAGCTTGAGGCAGTTTGATCGAGTTGAGTTAAACCAAACAAAAAGAAGCAGTCTTAATTTTCTTAGAATGATTCTGGGAAACACAGCTAATGGTAGTTTGAATTATTTTTCACCTGGGAATTTTACACTCATGAACAGATGCTGCTCCGTATTTAAAATGTCCTGAGTTACGGAATTGACATTTTTATATGAACTTGTTCACTAACAAATGGCCTTTTTATTGTAGAATGTCTGCAATGTGTTCCACTGCACAAAAAAATAGTATTAATAGTTTTTTAGGTAACAACATACATGCAGATAATAAAGACCGAGTTCAGATCTATGAGAATGTATTTGATTAAGAAGTAGATATCCCATGAATTCTACACATAACTAAAAAAAATTTTTTAAGAGTGACTTGCATGAGAATGTAATGTCTACCACCTCCACCATATGAAGATGAGTTTCCCCTAGTAAATAGTGAACCCAGTACTTTATCCAAAGCCCTTTTTTCCCTAAAATTCTTAAAATTTAAACTTAGGATTTGATAGTTACAAATCTTGTGTCAGTTGCCTAAACTTGATGAAAACAAATTGCAATACTTTTTATGTGGAGAATTTTTGTTCCTTGGATGCTTTTCAGCTTGGAAGTTTTAGTTTTTGGCCATAGCTGCTATTCCTTGTTAAAATACAGTGATGGTACATCTAGCCAGTTCGTTGCTTTTGGGGTTTTAGTCATCCTGCTTTTTGTTTAGTAGTACCACAAGTGCATGTTCGTAAGACAAAAGTACTTTGTCTAGCAACTCATAGAGTGGACCTATGTGTCTTATTAACCCTCAGTTTTTATTTTTGAAAATGTGCCGATTGAAGTAGTACGCATTTTTTTTTTTTTTTTTAAGTGCATTTGGGTAGGAAAGCATTGAAAAGTAGGGATGTCCAAGTACTTGTGTATGCTAGTTTATTTGGTGTTAACACCTAGGATGGTATCAAATCTGCAAAGCAATAGGACCTCAGAGCTTAATGGGAAGTAGCTTAAAAAGACTGTACTTAACGCTTTCCTATCCTTGCCAGTTGACCAAAAATACAGGTGATTGAATAGTTGCCCTTGCACTTCATTTGTATAGTATAGTAGGTTGGGAATTGATGGAGGGGTTACATTCATGAAGTTAACGTAGGATTCAGACAACATAACACCAGATATTTTGTGGAGTCACTTGTGATTGCAACCCAATGTTGGTAGGCCAGTTTATTAGAATCTAGATGAACTTGTAGGACACCTATCACTATGCCATTAGGATAGAAGACTTAAGACACTTAATTTGTAGCCATCTTATTTGCCTAAGAGTGTAAGCCCAGAAAATTTGTTAATCCATTTTCATGCCAAGATTCACGCTTATACCTGCATCTTGACAACACAGGGTTTTGCTTTGAAACAGCTGAATCTGGGTGTGAGAAAATTCTGTACAGTAGTTGAAAGTGATGAGGATAATTAATGACAGTCTGGACTAGTAGTACAAGTCTAGGAACAAGTGTTAGAGAAAGATGTAGTTCTTTGCACCATTAGTCATTGCTTGCCAATGCATAATCAACTCATGGAGGTGTTCAGTTTGATAATGAGTAATACTGGAAGTTCTTCATGGATCGCAGACTGGAGCTGGCATAGTACAGTATCTGTTGACAAATACTGAACTATTCGTAGCGTATTCTTTCCTGCTTTATCCTTCGATAGGCCCACTCCATGATATTAGACACGGTAGAATGCATTGTACTTGGTAAGCACTTAAAACCTTACTACACTAATACCAGTCAAAAATCGTAAGTTGCCAGAACAAAGAGATGACCAATAGTGTCTAGCTTATGTGCTATAAATACTGCAAAAGCATAGACAAGATAAAATTATTAAGTGATTACAGTTTATTTGACAACTAACATTCGAGCTATTAAGGGAGAGTTTATGGACAAGTACAAGAACAAAAGTTTCCAGTGTACTTTTTTTTCTTTGAAAAGTAATAAAGCAAAAAATATGCTGATTTAAATTTCATCTCCTTTTCCTTAGTCTGTCCATGTGAATGTGCTGTGTGGAAGAGTAAAAGGGCCCAACTAAATGTGTTCCAGTGATTCTAATAGGTATTCCAAATTAATTGTATATTTAACAGTTGTTATGTTAGGGTTCTAGGATCACTGTCGATAAAATTTATTTTTAAAGATGGGAAAAATTGGTAAGCAGATGGACAGATTCTCAGTAAGAGAAAAACAAGTTTTCTGATTGTTCCTTTGCTTGCATACCTGCACCGAGTATTGGTGTCCTCTCTACAGTTGGATGACCTTCCATATAACTTTGTATAAATACTATGCTCCCTGACATTAGAGATGAAATAAAAACTTTTTGAGTTCTAATGTAAAACAATGAGTAGAATAACTTTGTCTTTGTTTCCCCAAAATCTTCTCTGGATTTATACGTAAACTGCTATAGAATATCTGGAAAACAGATTGAGCTCCTTTTGGGTAATGAAGCATAAAGTAAATTCTAGCATTAAAAGTATAAAGTCAGTTGGGAAGTAAAGTCTGACAGACTGACAGGTGGGAAGATTGTGGTGTAGCTCTGATGATGCCAGTCCAGAGCATGTAATCTGTAAATCTGACTTTGATACTTAGGAAATTAATTTTTCCTACTACCTGTTCCAGAATAATGTTTTTAGATCAAAATGAGAGGACTTGGGTGCAGGTGTAATAACTGTAGGTATCAACATTTAACTCTGCGTTATAGCCTCTGAAGGCAACCCTCATGGCTTCTAAAGAGCGGGCAGCTCAAGGTTTCATAACCATTTCTGTTCATTAGGAAAAAACATGAAACTAGAAAAACAAAGTTTCAAAAGTAAGCATTGAATTTATGTGGTAAAGCATACCTTTTCACTTGTCTTCATGGTATAGTGGAAGAACCATTTCTATGGAAACTCATCTTTTATAAAAGGTGTATATACAGAGATTATTTTGATACCAACTAAGGGCTTGCCCTTTGATGGGTGGTTTACGGGACATTAACTGCTAGAAAAAATGTGGAAGAGTTACCACTCATTGACTTGCTCTGTACATTGAAAGATCTTTTAAGACTGGAGTCTTAAAAAAGCATCTGTTACAGTAATCAGTGGTAGTCTTAAGGTGAAAATAATGTAATGGCATCCTTAGTGAATAAAATGGTTGAAAAGCACTCAAATATTTGCAACATAGCAGTAGTGCTCATATTACGAACTTAAAGTGCAATACTTTGAAGAATATATTCATAATAAAATTTTTTCTTATCCCAGCTGTTTCCCTTTAAAAAAGTTTAAGTTCTTACTGTATAAAATAAGCTGTGTGGAAATACCAGTATTTGGGTAGTGATAATGGCATATTGACCTGATTTGATACTTACTAGACTATTTTAAGATGCTTCCAAAGTATTTTATTCTAGAGAACTGCTACAAATAAGAATTACAGCAATCGTTTTGATTTTTGTACTTTGCTCATTAAGGTCTGCTTACCCAAAGAATAGTATATATTTTAACATGACTTTTAAAGGGGTGGCTTGACCCCGTCACAGATTTTTATCTAGGAATAGGAGGATTCAAACCCTGTTTGATCCCTAACTCTTTGCTGAAAGTGCATAAACAGGAATCCTGAATTTATTATATAGACCTCCTCGCATTATATAATCGAAGCAAAGGGAAACCAGCGATGGAGTTAGAGGTACGTAGACTAAAGAGATGCTTGCAAATCAAATAATGGTTCTAGTGGAGTCAAGAACTCTTGTTGCCAAACTCAGTCAATATAAATCACAAATCAGAGAAGAGCTGCTAATTTAAATTCCCGGAGGCCCTTTACTGAGGTGGAAAAGCAAGTAGTCAAGAAAAGAGGAGGGGTGAGGGAAGGGGAAATTGCTTAAAGTGCTAGGAAGATTAATAAGAGTAGGTATTGTAGAAAAGCTACCAGAAGTTTTCAAAACTAATAACTACAATTCTATTTTGATCAGCTATTTAGCTGGTACCTACTGCTATATCACCTAGTGTGAGATTTCGGAATTAATGGAACAATGAAGGAAGCAGTGTGCTGGAGGCTGCCAAGGGAATATGGAAGGTATGTTACTTTTTAGAGTTTAAAATTTGCAGTGCAAATTGGCAACATTGGATCCTGTATATTAGCATTAATAATTCAATATAATGTTCATTGACTTTTTTTTTTGTCTTTTTTGAGACGGGCTGGCTTTGCCGTTCAGGCTGGCCTTGAGCTCACTTTGTAGCCCAGGCTGGTCTCTCACAATGATCCCCCATCCTCAGCCTCCCAAGTGCTGGGATTATAGGCCTGTGTCATGTCTGGGTAGATCCCAGTACACTGGGAGGTTAAAGTAGGATTTTTAATTCAAGTCCAGCATGGTGAGAAATGAGACCCTGTCTAAAGAAAAGGTGTTGGGGTTGGGGTGTGGCTCAGTGCCAAGGCCTGGGTTCAATCCCCAGCTCAGGGTACAGGGAAAAAGGGCTACTACAATGTAGCATATACTACTTGGCCACCGAAAGAGCCGGCTGATGTTATGAGAGAAAGCACAAGACTGAGAAGCTTAAAGGAAAAGTGAAAATGTAGTTACTAGAAGTTATTTATTTATTTATTTGTTTAGTCTTTTTGAGACAGGGTCTCACTATGCGGTTCAGGCCATCCTTGAGCCCACTTTGTAGCCCAGGCTGGTCTCGAACTCCCAACAATCCTCCTGCCTCAAACTCCCGAGTGCAGGGATTACAGGCGTGGGCCACCACGTTTGGCAAAACTTAATCAGTTTTTTTTTTTTACCGGTACCGGGAATTGAACTGACAACCTCATGCTTGCCAGGCAGGCGCTGTGCCACTGAGCTAACTCCCCAACCCCGCCCCCCCGAAGTTAATAAGCAGAAGAATGGAAGTTTATGGAGCTAGATGAGGAAAGGCACTCCAAGCAGAATGAGGCATTTGAGTGGAGTCATGAATTCTGATGAAAAGGTCATGAGCTGGGGGGGGTTGGTCATGAGCTGGGGGGGTTGGCAAAACCTCCCTTAGCTGAGATTTGCAGTTGAGTGGCAGGGTGGAAATACAGGAAAGTAGCAATGAGAAGCATCAGGACCATTTGGGAACATGAGGATGTTCAGGAGGAATGAGTGTGTATATACAATGATGTGTATGTAATGACATTTTTAAAGCAATGCAGCTGGGCGTGGTGGCGCACGCCTGTAATCCCAGCACTAGGGAGGCTGAGGCAGGAGGATCGTTGCAAGTTTGAGGCCAGCCTGGGCTACGAAGTGAGCTTAAGGCCAGCCTGAACTGCATAGCGAGACCCTGTCTCCCCACCCCCCCCAAAAAAGTAATGCAATTAAATTAAGTACATTGTAACTTTGTTCTGCCCAGGTCTTCAGTTTGTGCAGTCATTCTGCTGTGAAAGTGAACTAAGCTTGTGAAATGATGAAGGCATTGGAAATTATACCAGCCGAGTGGTTTCTCTTACTCAGGGTAAGATGGAATTGTGGTATGTTAAGAGCTAGAACACGCTTTGGATTACTCCAGTTGCCTGGAGGTTACACGTTATATGTTAGTAAACTGAGTCTTAAGTGTCCCGTATGCCTAGCTTATTAAAATGTCAAGATTGAGTAGTAGTGCTTATTTCTTCCCCATCAAGCAGTGCTACCTCTTAAGAGCTTCCATGTTGAGACAGGATCTTGCTATGTAGTGCAGGCTGGCCCTAAACTCACTGTGTAGCCAGGCTGTCTGGGAACTTGCAGTAATCCTGTCTCAGCCTCTAAAGCGCTGGGATTACAGGTGTGCACCACGATGCCTGGCAAACCTTCCCGTTTTTAATCATGACCAATTTGAATAACATAGGCTATATTACATGTTGGTCTGTGCCAGTAAGAGCTGGCAGATCTTATAATTACTTTCTTTTACAATAAATCAGTGTTCAAGTCCTCCCTTTGGTGGCTGCCAAATCAGAATCAGTACAACTTTTGTTAGAATATGTGTTTGGCAACATTCACTGATAGTTGTGGCATTTGGTAAGCCACATGGCCTCTGTACCCTAACCCTCCGTGACAGTCACAAAATGTCCTCTAGTGTGACTAAGCCCCTCTTCGAGAAAGGATACAAAACAAAGTAATTGCAGTCTGTTCCTTACTGTGAAACACCAAATCGATCAGACCAGTGGCTGAGTGCTCTTGTCCTATTCTCGGCATATTAAGCATCTTCTTTAATACTTTAGATTTCTTGAGGTCTGTATGTCGCCCAGGCTACCCGTGAATTCCAGGACCCAGGAGGTCAATCGATCCTCTTGCTTTAGCCTTAGCTGGGACTATAGATGCATGGCACAGATTTTCTTAAAAAGTAGTGTTTACTAAAACCACAACAGAAAGGAAGATTGCTTCTGGATGAGTTAATATTGGGGATTTGGTTGATGTTGGTGCCTTTATTTAAAAAGTTTTATAAGTGTCTTACTTATAGTAAGGTAATAAAATATGCATAGTTCTGACCAAACATTTTCATACCAAAATACACATTTATACTGTATGTACTGTAACTAAACTCATTAAAATCCTACATTAAAAAGCATTCAGGGCAACTAAAAATTTAAGGTGAATTTTTTTTTTGTTTTTAAGGCAAGTTTAAAAATACAGCTGGGCCAGGTGTGGTAGCTCACACGTATAATCCCAGCACCTGGGAGGCCTTGGGAGTTTGAGACCAGCCCAGGCTACAACGTGAGCTCAAGGCCAGCCTGAACTGCATAGTGAGACCCTGTCTCAAAAAAAAAGGCTGGGAAATAACTTCCTTGAAATCCAACATTAAACTCTTTGCTTAATACAAAGGAACTTTATCTCCAGTAGGCTTTATAATTCTGAATCACATTGTCAATAAATTGTATTAATACTTTAGGCACGCGTGGCAGATCTGCTGTATGTAACACAGCGCAACACTGAGCTGACAGTAAAGGGCCAGGATGAGTTGGCAAGTTTTCATACAAGTATGAAAAAGACAGACTGTGGCTTACACATACTTTATTTACTCATTGAGGGCTTTCGGATTGTATGTATAAAATACTCTGTGTAGTTGATCCCAACACTGCTCACACTGACTTCAAGGAGTTCTGTTTTGGTTTTCTGTGTTCAAGTTGCTCAGTTGCTGCTGTTGCTTTGTTTTCTTTCAGGATCAAGGTGGGTGCTTTCATATAAAATCTTATTTTTCATTCCTTCTCTGGCAATTCTTTGCTGGATTCTTTCCTTTGCATAATTATACCTGCAATGGAACCTTATAAAACAATATAAATTGTTAATGTATACTATTCTTTATAATCACAGAATTTTGAAATGCTTACAGATGAAGATGTGAAGACTAAAGTACAAATGGTCTAATGTAGAATGCTGTTTCAGTGTCAGTACCTATGAACAAATTATACCTATGTAAAATGAGGATTTCTGCCATTTAGCTATTTGAAATGCTGTAGAACTTACATATCTTGAGACCTATCCCGTAATTTACATTAATCATCAGCAGAACAAGCAGGGATGAAATGACTGGAAAAAGGTAAAAAATTGATATTGGAACATCTGTTGTCATTTACTGATTTGTTCAAGTAACTAACATAGTATATGGTATGTGGATATTTATGTAATATTTAAAGGCAAAGGCATTCCAGCACTATTGCTTGTAAGATGGATTTCCATTAAAAAGTCCTTAAGATTTTCAGAGGGTGAATCTCTCAATGAGATTTCTTTCAAAAGTACATAGGCTTTTGACTTAGGCAACCTACTGTGATCTTGGGTTTTCTGGCATAGATGGCAAACATACCAGCATCCTAAAGTCACTATGATAAATCCTCCTACGCCAACATCACACGATCTTCTAATTCTGCCTGTCAGAAATAAGGAATTAGAACCACCATAATTATTAAGAATATACTTAACATAAGATTGTTACTCCACTTAGAAAAATTTTTCCACAGAGAAAAAGGGTATTTTGCATAAAGAAATAAACATACTCACTAGTTAACAAAAAGTATCCAAGTCCAGCCACGACAGATCCTAGTGAACCATACAATACCGAATCCCGTGCACAGGGAATGTTTTCAACATCTAAAATTCCCAGGAGTTTAAAGGGCTAGATTAAAAAAAAAAAAAAAAACAATTTGAACAAGACTATTTTAGTTCAAGGTAATGTAGCAAAGATTACAGTGCTAACAGTTTCCTTTACTGTATTTTAAGGTAATAAACTAGAATATATGCCAGTCAACAACTCTGTGAATCAGTTAATACTGTGTTTGATAATTGTAATAATTAAATGTATACATTAGAAACCTTGAAAATTTGACCAGAAAGCCCTAAGCAGTAGTATAACTTTGCATTCTGACATAACTCATTAATCAGCTGATTTGGAAATGAACTTCTGGTGAATTTCTTTGGGAACTTTGTCTTTTTCACTGAAAGAAAAAAAATTCAGTGATTTGGGAAACATGAAAAGTTATTTGAGCCATGTTTGCTTGTAATAATTAAAGTGTTAATTTAAGTTTTCAGGTTTTGTTGGTGTTAGATAAATATGTCTTGGCAGCTGTAACATTTCATGTTAATATGAACATGGTAATGTATTTCTCTGGCCTCAGTTTCCCTGCCTGTCACATGAAGTTGCATCTCAATAACCAGATTGATAGTATGTGGAATCCACAGCTAGGACAATCCTGAGTGAATTTTTGCATCAGCTCTGCCACTACCTTATTATATCTCTGTGGCCTCAATCTAAAATGAAATGGATTAAATTTTTCCAAGTGCAAAATACCTCCGTACAGTTTTAATTGTATTTTACTGTCTTTTCCTTAGTATGTTCAACCAGATGTCTGTCAGTCTGATAGACATGTCTGTGACTGGCAGAAATTTGTTTTTTGAGACACAATCTTGGTAGGTAACGTAGCTTTGAACTCCCAGCAGTCACCCAATCTCAGCCTCTCCTGAGTTCTGGGATCACAGTTGTGCACCACTATGCAGGCTTGACTATGGGGTTTCTGTTACTAAAAAAAGCATAGAGGGCCTGGGTTGTGTCTCCATGGAAGACACTTCTCTTAGCTTGTGGAAGGCACTCTGTTGGATCCCCAGCACTGTTAAAAATAACTCAGAAAACTTAAATGATGACGCAAATATTTTCTAGAACTTCGTTAACTGTAAGTTTTCACCACTGCTTTAAAAAATGTGAGGCAGCTGGATGATTCTGTAGGGTGAAGAGATAACCTAGGAGGGAAAAGTACACAGAACAAAGGACAGTGAAAGACAAGTCAGAGTAAAGGCTGAAACATGAAGATAACTCCATTGTGTCTGACAAAGACAAAATGTGACTTGGTTCCTATTAAAGTAAGAATTACACACTCTTGCATTCTGTTTCATTTTTTTCCTGTTCCCCCTCTCCCCACATAAGACTGCATCACTAACCCACCACTTCCAAACTCAAAGCTCGGCAGTGCACTGCAGAGCTCCACATAAAAAGGCTGGGGGATTTTAAAAGCTGAATAATGTGGTCAGGGGTGGCTGTTCTGATAGGAATGCTGGGCTCTACTCCAGCCAGACCAGTGAACGTCCTTATCCTCAAAGCAGCCACTTCCCTACGAGCTGGATGCTGGGGTCTGGGAACATGATGATACTCAGGCACTAATTTCACCAGGTCTTAGACACTGAGCAGCTGTTACCATATATGGTATGATAAACAACTATAGAAGATGTGGCCACAGCACAGGAAGTACCACCCACCTCAGGAGTCCTGCGTTCCTTGATTCCCTTCTGTGATAAGAGATGTGTGGTTCCGGGATACACTGCATCCTGCAGACGTTCTTGGCACAATGTAAAATGCTACCAGTGCCACTTTATACCAAATGCAATTGAAATGGTACTAGAGTGAGCTAGCAGGTATGTGAGCACTTGGAAGTTTACAGTAGATCTGTAACAATCTTGGCTTGAAGATACCCCACATACAGTCCACAGCCCCACCCCAAACGAACCCACCTGGTCTAATACGTCAGGATCCTGTGGTTGAGAAATCTTACCTAGTGGAGCACGTAATTTCAGTCTCTATGATACCCCTGAGCAGACTTGGGGGTTTTTTGTAAAAGGCTGGAAGAACACTAGGAAGAGACTGACAACTGACACCAAATGCCTGTCATTTCCGCTATCAAAATGCACTATCCAACCTTTCAGTTAGCCCAAGTTTGTGGGAGGAGCATTTCCCAAAGGTCACACACCTAGTGAGAAAGATTCAATGCCCAAGTCTATCTGCAGTGGGCACTGAAATGTGGGAAGGATGTGATAGACTTAAAGCCACAACTCCCCTCAGGTAGATAGTGCTCCACCTCTTCCTAAAGGAAACAAGTGAACCAGCTTTCAGCATTTGCAGTGATTTAAAAACAACTGAAAAGGGTCAGGAAACAATTGCTTAAAATGCTCCACTCAACTGAAGTTCTCTTCATAAAACATGAATTAACACTTCTCCTGCATTCCTTTAAGGAGCTTTGCAAGTTTGTTGGAAATTTAACCCTTCAGAGGTAAACGGAATGGTAACTTAAATACAGGAAAACTACCAGCTCACTTTGCTGGAACTCAGAAAAGTTCAAGAATTTGCAAATCAAATTGGAGCCGTACCTCAATCTACTTGTATCAGTGCTCATATTCTTGTTTCAAAGAGCCATCTGAAGTATCTTACAGGTGGTCTTCCGCACATGTGCAGTGAGTCTCCTGCCTGTTCAGGGATTTGCTAGAGAGCCCTGGCCACCCATGCTGCCACCCTATTTTCCTGTGCTGCATTTATCCCTCCCCCAATTCTTTAACTCCCTTCAGGGAGGCAGTTATCCTCAGCGCTAGCTAACACTGCTGTGTAGTGGTCTAGGAGACACCCCACCCCCTTTGTAAAAGCCATCTTACTCTATCTCAGCATACACTGTTGCTATAATGCTTTGTTCAATCTTTTAGTTGCCTTAAAACGGCAATGTTTGGTGAGGCTGTCAACAGCCATTTGTGTTTTACTGCTGTCAGCTGCATACCTTGTATATTGTGCTCCCCCTTTTGTTCTTTGAGATAAGAGGACCACGCTGGCCTCTCACTTGTGGCAGTCCTGCCTCAGCTTCCTGGGCTGAAATTATAGGTGTGTGCCATGACCCCTGGCTGCTGCCCTTAACGTTCTCTGGAATGGAACCTTCCTAGGTGTATCAAGGGTTTCCATTAAATACCATTTATGGTGATGACTCCCGTTAGCAAATCAAAGCCTAATACCCTAATCCAGTGACTGCAATAGCGCTTTCAGTGCACAAGTGCCACAGGTTCGCAGCCACTGTCCTGATCCCCCAAATTTCAGTCTTTCATCTGTCTGCCTGTTGACACCTTTTGTTCACTTAACAGGAAACTTCTATAAGAATTACTTTTCACCCCTGAACCTAACCTTCCTCTTAATGGCATTTCAACTACTTTTCAGCCTAGGAAGATCCCAGTCATCCTTGATTCCTCTCACTACATCCATGCCCAGTGTATCGGCAGGTCTGGCACTGAACCGGAGCACTTTCTCAACTTGCTTGCTATTTCTACCAACCTGCCATCTGCCAAAGCTTCTCGACTACATTCTCCTGAGAACTGTGTTAGGGGACTGCCATGCTTTCCTTTGGCTGTGCGCAGGACACTGTGTTCCTTAACCACAGCTCTGCAGGCCCCCAGGATCAGGCTTCCACCTCCTGGTCTGCTCCTCGGCCTGGACTGAGTCAGGCCCACTGGCTACCTCATTCCTAACTTTGATGGTTCCTGCCCAGCAAAGTGGCTCTGCCCTGGATCTTCGCATGGCTGGCTCAGTGCATGGATTTCTTGCTGTACTTTTCCCCAAGAGAATTAAGGTCCATTAAGGAAGGATTTTGCTTATTGTCATTAAGCCTGTATACCTAGTACCTAGGCAGATGCTTACAGTTTTTTGAATTGAGTAAATTGATGAATTTGGAATTTGCTTTGTTTTTTTTTTTGTCTTTTTGAGACAGGGTCTTGTTACGCAGTTCAGGCTGGCCTTGAGCTCACTTTGTAGCCCAAGCTAGTCTCAAACTCACAATGAGTAATCCTGAGTGCTGGGATTACAGGCGTGCACCACCAGGCCTGGGCGAAATTTAGAATCTGCTGAATGTGAATTTATCTTTATATACCAGATTACTTCGAAATTTGTCAAAACAAGAATGAAGGCAGATGAGAGCCGGAGGTTTGAGATGGTTTCACTATGTAGCTCAGGTCTGAGTCTCCTGAGTGCTGGGATTAAGTGCACCACCCGGCCCAGCTCAAAGTTTTTAAGGGCTACTTGTGTCTGCTAACTCCTTTAAACTAACCTCCTACTGGAATGATCACTAACAAATCCTCTTGTAAAAGGTAACTCTGGCTTCCTTTTCTGACATTATCCTAGTCTGTTAATCAAACATAGTTTATGTTATATTATCCCTGATATGTAGTTTATGAGCAACTTGTTTGTAGGTCATTAAACAGTCCCTCCCCCAACCTACTAGTGCTGTTTCTAGGCTTATAGCCATCCTGTTTTCCGGTTTTTTTTTTTTCTCTCTCTCTCTCTGTGTGTGTGTGTGTGTGTGTGTGTGTGTGTGTGTGTGTCATTTTGGAGATAGGGTCTGGGTATGTAGTTCAAACTGGCCTTAAGGTCACCTTGTAGCCTGGGTTGGGCTCGAACTCCTAAGGATCCTCCTGCCTCAGCCTCCCAAGTGGCCATCCTGCTTTTCACTGACTACAATACTAAGTTTTGTTTGCTACTGATATATCAAACAGGTCTATATTGATTACTTTCTTCATTTTTATTTCTAGTGGATTAAGCCTCTTGGACAGTCACATAAAAGTCCAAGATCACATAGCCGGATCTAGGATTTAGTGTTCGTAGTTGTCATAAAACAGCACTTTTTTAAAAACACAAGTAGTTGGTATGTGAGAGAAAGAAAAAAAAAAAAACCACCAAAACCTGTTATGGCATTACAGAATAATTCTAGCCAACAGTTTTTTATGGTTAATATGAAGATCTGATATCCTGGCCAAATTTAGGAATCTCCAGAGAAGATCAAGAAGTGAGCAAAGGTTTAGAGCGTAGTAGACTACCCAAGGCCCTGACGGGAATGTGGAGCACATGGTGTATCTTCACTACCAGCTCAGGATTGGGCATGCTGTAACTAACCACTTGCTGAACACCAGTTACTCGCTCTGTATTGAGAGGGTGTATAAATTGGGTTCCTTTATAAGAAGCCCAGGGAAAAAGATCGACTATAAATTTACTACCTTCCAAGTGCGCTACAGTATCGATCAAGCCTGTACGAGATGCCCCGGAGATGAGGAAAGAAACCCCTCCTTCGGCTCTGGGAGTCAGTCACTCAAGGACCTTCCTTCTGGGGAGATCAGAGTGAGTTTGGTTTAACCACTACATCAATGGGAGGCCCAGGGATATAGCTCAGCGGGACAAGCGCCTGCCTGGCAAGCACAAGGTCCTGAATTCGATTCTTGGTACGAAAAAAGTAAGTTTCATCACCGGGCGTGGTGGCGCATGCCTGTAATCCCAGCACTCAGGAAGCTGAGGCAGGAGGATTGTTGCGAAATCGAGACCAGCCTGGGCTACAAAGTGAGTTCAAGGCCAGCCTGAACTGCGCAGCGAGACCTGTCTCAAAAAGGCCAAAACAAAAACAATGGGGTTTTGTTCCTTGAAAGAACAGGCCACTCCGACTGGATTTTTAAACGGTGAAAGCTGCCCAGTTCACAGGATGCAAAGTGCATTCTGACGATTGGGGAAGCCCAAGGCGAGAGAGCAAGACATGGCTAACAGCTGGGGCAGGCTGTTGGTTACGCACACTCCTACTTGGTCTAGACTCCAAGAACGTTTGTAAGAAATTCTTTCACCATTTCTTTTTTGCGCTACAGGAGATTAAACCTAGAGCCTTTGCAATAAATTACTGTATCTCCCAGCCATTTTTCTTTGTGTTTTTGAGGTAGGAACTGCACAAGCTGTTCTGGAACTTGGGATCCGCCTTTTCTTTTAAGATAAATAATTTTATGGGTATATTTTATTTTATTTTTTTGGTACTGGGAATCAAACTCAGGAACTCACGATTGCAAGGCAGGCGCTGTGTCGCTGTGTATCTCCCTGGCCCTAGGTATATTTTAGATGTACACAATAACGTTCATCATAGGGAATCTGGGGCTGTACATGACGTATCTTGATTCTTTTTTTTCCCATTCCCCTTCCCTCCGAACTTGGGATCCTCCTCCTGCCTCAGCCTCCTAGAGTGGTGGGATTACAAGGCGTGCGCCATCATACCCGGTTTCAGCATTTCATCTTATCTGCTCTGGACAAAAACTCCTCGGAATATAATAAAGCATTCATTCCCTGGTATCTACAGAATCCCCTTTGTTTAAATGTAGCGTACATCATTAAACACCGGGGAGCCGTCCTCGGAACCTTCCCTAGCAAAACGCAGTGCAGCGTCCTTGTCCGCAGACTTTGGTCACAGGATTCACCGCCGTGAGCTGTTTCATAACGACCTCAGCTAAGTCATTCATCGTGCGCCCCTCCCCCTCGTTCCCGACACTCTGTCCTGGTCACTTCTACACAGGTCGAGGGGAGGGCAGGACAAGGACTCCGAAGGGCGCTAATGGCTTCCAGCCCAGGGCGGCAGAGAAGCCAGACGCGCGCTGGGGTAGGAGCTCCGAGCCCGGGC